TCATATCCGACGGGGACTAGGTATTCTCGATATTTTGGATCGTGTTTAGTCAAATTTATTCCATATTATATATGTTTATTTCTATATGTACTTTGTTCATCGGATATCTAACAATTGAAGATGTTGAAAGTATATGTGTGTGTGCATCTAGCTATATTTGGAGTTGAGGTAATATATTTCCTCAACTAACTCTCTCTCTCTCTCTCTCTCTCTCTCTCTCTCTCAATATTCATGTTCACAAAATATATCAAATTATGTGTTATATTTGTCGTATATGTCGTGATTGTATGTATTTTACTTCATTAAATGCTTAAAATATGTTTTGCCTTTGTATCTATGTCCTTATGTATGCCCATATGATCAAAAATGTCAAAATTTGCTAGTTTTACTTGCATGAGTCGACCTAAGCAAGGTTTGGTCGACTCACAAAAATGTTTTCTAATTTGCATTTGAGGCGGGTATGCTCAGGTCGACCTACCTGTCGATGCATACCTCTTGTATTTTGAATGTGTGCTTTTCAACACAGTATGCATCGACGCATAAGACCCTCCGATTGACGCATTGCGCAATTTCCTGGAAAAAAAATTCTGAAAATTTGTTCATTTTCCCACTTAAATTGCTTTAAAGATTCATATTCATGTGCATTATGACATTTTGCATAGAAACTTGATACTTACATCAAAGGCTAGTCTATTATTCTTCTCTTCCCAAAACCTAGACTCTATTACAAAAAGGGTAAAAGTCTTTAACATCTCTCCATCTCCAAGATTTATCTCCAACATTTGAAATCATCATCGCCCGACTTACTCTTCTCCATCTTTGAAATATAATCATGGCTACCTGCAAAGTTACCGGTAAACGCTCCTCCAGAGCTTCTTCCTCTGTAGGACCTTCATCTGCAGCTCTTTCGACAACCACCGTATCACTGGTTCCACCTGAATTTGCCGAGAGCTTCGCCAAAAACTTCAGCAAGCGGACTGTGGTAAAGCAACATGCCTACTATCGACTTTCTACTGAGAGAATGCACATCCCTCAGGTAATAAACCTTATTGATTTTCAAGGGTTTAACAATTTCTTAGAGTGCAATACGAAATACAACGAAGACCTTGTGAGGATCTTCTACACTTGTCTTCATGGAAAGTTTCAAAGTTCTGGGTTTCAAACGAAGGTCGAAACTACAAAGGTTTGTGTCAATAATGTTGTTTGGCAGAAAATGTTTGATACACCTCCCGTGTCTGATGTGCCTATCATTAAGGTCACTGACACCAACACTCTTGATGGCTACGATTTCAAAGAGGCTTTGAACTCAATGCTGAAGAAGCCTTATGCAGCTGACATTGTGGCGAGTGATTTATTTTCAAAAATGGTCACTACGGGTAAATTGAAACCTATGGATAGAATTTTGCAGTGGATTGTGGCGTGCATTATATGGCCTAAGAAAGGTGGATTTTCTCGAGTTGATCAGGCCGAGGTCCATTTGATCTACATCTTGAAGAAACAGATCAGAATTAGTTGGCCTCATTATATTGCTAGTAGGATTTATGCCCTCGGAGACTCGGGTCGAGGTACCGCTCTTTCATATGGTTCTTTCATTCAAGAGGTTTTGAATAACGCCAAAGTCACGATTTCGGGTATTCCATATACATCTTTCACTCCGGATCAAGAGTTTTGTCAAAAGACTCTTACAATGATGGGTTATATATGGGTTCAGGAAGAACGTTGTTACCGATTCGTTGTTAAAGCAACTTCCTCTCGGTTGGAAGCATCCAATGGGAGTGATAATCAAAATGACGAGGACGAGGAAGAAGAAGACCAATATGACCAAGGTGATAGACAACCAATGAAGGTTGAAGACCACATAAATTTAAGTTGGGTTGACCAATCTCCTACCACAGATCATGGAAATGACCAAGGTTAGGGCGAATGGCAACATACCGATTGGACTTCATTACATGAGAACTACCGACCTCAACAATATTCGGAGTATCAAGAAACTCCGCATTGGGGATATGAGGAGCCTCCACATTTCACGAATCCGCCGCAATAAAATTATGACGAACTCCTCGAGATGATAAGGAATATGCAACTAGCTCAGCGGTCTTTCATGAATGATCAGGACGAGCGTCTTTCGCACCTTTAAAGTCAATTTGAGGCTCATATAGAAAATTTCAATGCATTCTCCTCTAATGTCATGCAACGGTTCGATGGCCTTGCTGAAACAACCATCAATCAGCATCATGTTTTGACCACAAGCTTTAATACATTACACAGAGTGGTCTTGGAGTTTACTGAATGAGCCAATTTTCAACTACCTCCGTCGTATCCAACTCATGGGAGAGGCCATCATATCAGGGGGAGGAGACCTTGAAGGCTATGCATTATGCATATTGCATTTCATGATTTTGTTATGTTGTTGTGAATTTTGCTTTGTATTAAGAATATCTAATGTGTCTATGTCATGAATCATAAACTTATATGTCATTTCTTGTGTGTATTTTCTAGAAAAATTTACTATTTTTGTCTATGCATCATGATATTTATCTCTTTGTTCCGTGTTCATTAACTGCGTTATGTGTGGATGTATGTTAATGTTTATCCTGTTGTACGTGTTTTGATATGAGCATTTGTTATTTTTTATCATTCCTTGACATGAATTTCTTTCTTTTTGATGTTGTCAAAGGGGTAGAAAGTGTCAAGCAGTTTAGTAGAGCCATAAAGATCAAAAGTGAAGACGTAGCATTTAACGCAAATGAGTAAGTAGGAATGAAGGCATCAAGCAAGGGGGAGGATAATGCCGCATATCATACAAACAGGCTCTACGTGTTTTGCCATCATAAAAAAGGGGGAGTATGTGAGGGAAAAGCCTCATATACAAGATATGCTTGTTTTGATGATGTCAAAGCTTAGCTTCATAGAAGAATCGATGTTGGGCGTTATCACCATGTTGCATGTGCATACCTTGTTTCTTATGACTTATTTGCTTGCATAAAATATCTCGGGTGTTGCATATAGAGATGTCAAAATATGTGTCATATGAGTTAAACTTCATTTGTCTATCATAGGTATCATATAAGATAGTCAAAAGTATGAAATTAAGCATTTCTAGCAATTTCAGGTCTATGAGTCGACCAAAGCTTTGTTCCTGTCGGCTCATACTATGTGTCTAGATTTTGTATTTTCTTCAGGTGTGCTCGCGTCGACCTACCGGTCGACTCATACTTTTGGTATTTGTATTTGTCTAAAAATCCAGGCTATGTGTCATCACATGCCTTGTTCCGGTCGACGCATGGTTGTATGTTTTGCACAATTTTTTCATCGGGTTAGCTCAGGTCGACCCTGCACTCTGCATGGGTCGACCACTCGCTGTTTTATGCTATTTTTCTATTATGTCTATTATTTTTGGAAAGTGGTTTTATCAGTTATAACAGTTTTGTCTGGTATAAATATTCTGTTGCTCTTTTCACTTCACACACATAGAGGAAAACAAGAGAAGTGAAATAGGTGTCAATTTAGTTCTCATCATCTTCATAGCATACCACAACAATCACACACAATAATCTTTGTTGTGCATTATGCATTGTTTGAGGTGATAACGATTGATTGGGTAATCCGGTTCGGGTTGAGGAATTGATAGGTTTTTCTTGAATAAAACCTCTAGGGTTTTGTCCTCTAAGATTCTCTGAATTTGGGGTTTTTTGCACGATTCTTCTGAACACATATTCAGCCGATTGAAGGTAATCAAGGAGCGGTGGGTTTCGTCGATTTAGTAACGTTAAGCGGAGGATTGTAAAGGAGAGTTTCAGGTTCAACACGCGAGTGATTGAAATCAGTCGGGTCAGGTTTTGAAGACGGAAAGTTGTTTAAATATAGAGCCGCAATCAGAGGTTTATTCACAAGCTGTCGAAGGACTTGATTTGACTTGAATCAAGGGGCAAGAGGAGATATCATCTACAACAACAAGGGTGTTCGTTTGTTTCATTGCTATTAAATTCTTGTATATACAATTCTACAACAAGTTAAATTTATATTATAAGGTCTCAATTCTATTATTAGAATTGAGGGTGGACGTACCCCGAAGCGAAGACGACGGGGGAACTGCCTCAACAAATCGTTGTGTCTTTTGCCTTACATTTACATTGCTTGATATTTATGGTTTTAGTGCAAACAATTATATCAATCTAGGACCGATTTGAGTAGTGCTAAACTGATTTTGAATCTAGTACAATCATTGATTGTACGAGGAAACTTGAGCTACTCACTCAACACGGAACTCACTTGTTGTGCTCCGCACGCCAAGTGTTTGATAAATTGTCTGAACCAAAAGCCTTGTATGTTGTCCATTTATTGTGTTGATATTTTAAGGCATTAGAACTAGTCATACCACATAGTGAGCTAAATTAAATTGATAGTGTCTAGCGTAGTGATTCTCATATTTCGTTATCGGATTCCATAAGGCTTAAACGCATATCCGATTTTCTAGTAACCGTTCGTTTTAGACTGTATAAATTTCTCTGCTAGCTTCCGCAAATTAAAAAAATTTTAAAAACCAATTTTATTTGGTAGCGCCGATTCTTTTTAAGCAAGCGATCTATTCAACCCCCCTTTTAGATCCGCGCCATCGTCTAACACTACCTTCCACTGATAGGTGCTTTCCTTTCCATCCCGCAAGTATTTATTTTGGGTTGTGAGTCACACAGATATGAAAAATTAGATAAAATAATTTGGACACTATATTTTAATCCAAAATTTTAATGGTTTATTTGAATAGGAAGGAAGTGAAAGCAAAGAATATTAAATGAATGAAAATTTATTATAAAAAAAAAAGAAAAAAGAAAGTGAGATGATTTTTTTAGTTGTTTGATTAGAGGAAAAGTGGAAAAAAATTGAGAAAAAAATTCACGTATAATTAGTAAATGACATAAATATTCTTATATTAAACATACGAGATATTTATTATATTGATTTCATATTCATTTGAATTTTTTTTTATCAAAACTAACTCAATGCTTATCATTAATCGGGAAACGTTCAATACAAGAAGGAGCTAAATTCAACAAATTACACCTAGGCCAAGAATTGGCCGCCCTAGCAAGAGAGTGGACAACCATATTCGCTTGACGTTTAATGAGTTTTACCTTGAAGCTAGGATTAAGTATTAACAAGGCTTTTATAGAATTAATGATAAAATAAAACTCGGAGCCACTCTTATAGTTGGAGTGAATGACTTGAACAACTGTTTGAGAATCAATTTCGAATGCCACATTTTCCATATTCAAATCAAATGCCACTTGGATTGCTTCTCTAAGTGCCAAAGCTTCAGCCTCACGCACGAACATAATTAATTAATATAACTTTAAAGATCACAGAATATTCAACATGTAAGGAAGTGATCCTAGGAGTTGGCTCAACAAAGGCAAGCAAAAAAATTACCTTTGCAATCTCTAAAGATGCCCCCCACAACCACTGTAATGTTGAGTAAGGCCACCATTATAATTACACTCGAGCCAACCCTATGGAGGAGGTTTCCAAAGAACTTATTTCACCATTAGGGCACGAGAGAGGTGGATGTTTACCTTGAAAGTTTTAAGAAGATTAAAGTTTATCATAGAAGAAGTGTGCATGAGCAAAGAATTATTACCAACCATCATGATTTAAGAAATTATATTAGAGAATGTTGAATGAAGACGGGGAACCTTATCTTGATGCCTTACCAAGTTTCTAACACGCAAAATTAAAGAAATAAAAACAAGGGTTTCCTTAATGATCAAGGAACCTTGATGATGTTATACGATAGACTTTGATCTAGAGGGGGTGAATAGATCACAAATTAAAAGTCAAACTTTTGGCAAAATAAATCTTTTCAAAAGTTTTATGACAGAGTGGAAATAACTCGAATCGAATCATCTAACTGAACATCTATCGAAAAGATCAGATATGTGTAAAGGTACACAAATGTTTGATAATGAACACAAATTATCTAACAACTATCATTCACAAACAATTGTATGCAAAGCTACACGTAGAGCTTATTCCCAATGATAAGAAATACACAAAACACAATAAGGCAATTTATCAAACACTTTGTGAGCAATTGATATCGTTTAGAATTTTTCTTTATTTTGTTGATCTAAAAACTAATCATAATCAAACGGGTTGTATGTGTGTATGTGTGTGTGCATATATATATATATATATATATATATATATATATATATATATATATATATATATATATATATATATATATATATATATATATATATATATATATATATATATATATATATATATATATATATATATATATATATATATATATATATATATATATATATATATATATATATATATATATATATATATATATATATATATATATATATATATATATATATATATATATATATATATATATATATATATATATATATATATATATATATATATATATATATATATATATATATATATATATATATATATATATATATATATATATATATATATATATATATATATATATATATATATATATATATATATATATATATATATATATATATATATATATATATATATATATATATATATATATATATATAAAAGAGAGAAGGGTTTGCTAAGACAGTTTCCCAATCGACCTCGCTAAGGGTACGTCTGCCCTCAATTCGAATTCGAATTGAGATAATTGTAATTAACCTTATTTTGAAAAAAATGAAGAACTCTAACCCTACAAAACCTAGGTTTGTTATTGATTCTATCATCTATAATACCCTTGAACAAAGATTGATCAAGTCGCCAAAAATGTCGCTTCAATTCACATGTTCTTGCTACTTCCTTACAAGGCACCCCTGGTCCCAAGGCTTTCGAACAGCTGAATTTATCCCAAGCTTACACTTGTTGAAACCTTATATTTACCAACATGATTCACCATCACACGTTACACCCTTGCAAGGCACCCCTTGTCCCAAGGCTTTCACTCGGTCAGATCTGAATTATGTAATCTTGTCCAAAACCTTCAAATCATCGATGATCTTGAAGGAAACCCCCAACTCAGTACAACAACCTAATTGGACGTTATCAACTCTAATCCAAATGGTCACCCAATTAAAAAGTTATTATGTGTAGTTTGTGTAGCAGGAAAATTTGTGAGTGTAAGCTATTGATTAACTTAAATAAAAAAATGCAAGAGTCGACACCACACTTTTATTTTATCCAAAAGGAAAGGAAAAAGAGCGAACAAAACCTAAACAAGTTCTAAAACAAGAACAAACAGAGAATGGATAAGGGGGTTGGTTATGCGATGGTCAAAATGTTTATAGTACTCTATAGGAGCTCGTTTGAAATATCTACACTTTTTGGTTTGAAAAAGGTTTGCTTGAAATGAGATTGGGGAGATGAGAAGAGAAATATTTTAAAGATTTTTGTGTTTGGGGAGACTTATCGCCTCATGCCTACGTACCCACAAAGTTCAATATAGGATCAAAACCTCGTAGTTTGTGGTACAAATAACAAAAAAATTGTTGGTTATGATTCATTTTTAAATGTAAAGACAAGTCGTCATTTTAAGGAGAAAATTACGACTAGTCGCCCACAAGCATAAGACACCATTTGCATTACCTAAAGATGGAGGATTTTGCTTGGATTAAAATCAACAAGTATATCACTCAACATCTAAGTGAAAATGTCAACATCTTAAATACTATGGGGAATAGGAGAATTGTATCTCAACTATGAAAATGACTCATGTCTAAACTTTATGAAAAGTTTTAAAATGAAAAGTGCGCAAAGCCATAAAAAGTTTGAATGAGGTGAACTGGTTTTTTATATATTTTTTTTTTGAAATTGGTCAAAGTGTGATTAACATTGATTGAAATTTATTAAAGAAAACAAAGTTTGAAAATTACTTGACAAAATTCAAGGTTTTATTGTGAAAGCGGTTTTAAGTTTGAAAACAAGAAGGTTTTTGAAAAAGGGAGGAGATTTTGAAAACTCAAGAAGGGAAGGAGATGAAGTGACTACCCTAGAAGGAAAAATAAAATCTAGTGATAAGAAGAATCTAACCAAATTGTAGCACACTCCATAGTAAGCCAAATAAGAATTGCATCCATCTTGAAGCATAAGTAAATGAGCAAGCCAAATAAAGGCAAAGATCCATAATACTCCAAGCATATGGAAAGATACATAACTCTAAGTTCAAGGGTCCAATAATAGTCCAAGAGGTCCAAGGTCTAAGTCCGTCCATGAGCATAACCACAAAATTAAGAGCACCAAGTTTTTTAGAGGTTTAATTATTTATTAATGTTTTAAATAAGACATGGTCCAAATGGACAAAAGAAAAAGAGCAGAAACATAAATAATAATATGATATGAGATGATAGGAGCATAAAAATAAAAGAGAGATAAGGAGTAAGAAGGAATATAAACAAAATTAGTACAATAATATTGTTAGTGAGTTAGTGATTAGTTGCTTAGAACAAATGATCAACGATGGTTAATTCATGCACTTAGGCCAAAATTAATGAAGACTCATTAGGGGATTGATAAAATCAAAGCCTCATAACAACAAGTTTCATAAGTAATGAACCTAAGATAAATAATCAACCATACTTGGACTTTCAAAGATAAGTTTGAGCCATGAATGATCATTTCCTGATTACGAGACAATTTAGCGCTATATTAAGCAATCGTAATCGGGTTTATATAGAAACCACGACTATCTGAGGCCGGCCAATAACAATGTTAGTGCTAATGCATGCTAGAGAAGTGATATGTATTCCACTCTCCGAAAGCAATACCGCATGAAAAGAAAAGAAGCAGCGATCTCATCTTAATCAAGACTTTTATTAATTAATCAAAGATAATCTATCACTATTCCAAAGTACGGAGAATTATCTCTGATCATTCGTCTATAGATTTGAAATAATAAAGATTAAACATCCTTGACAACCAACAATCCATGATCCAAAGATTTTATCGACCAAAAGAAAAATAAGAAGAAGAAAAAGAACCAAAAGGAATCTCAATTCGATTAAATCGTCATTAATATCAATCACCTCTCTTGACGGATTTGGAATTTCTCCTATCAACGTTCATGGTCCATTGAGATTAATAAGATCATACTCAAAATTTAAGATCCAACCAACAATCAAAAAATAAATCAATAAAATCAAAAATAAAAAATCAAGAATTATGAATCACATGAATTTCAAGAAGAATTTTAAAGAAAAAACTTCAAAATACAAAAATCCACAAAAAATTAAAATCTATTTTAAGAAATCATTAAGAAAAAGAAGAAATTAGTGAGAAATTATTTGGATTAAAAAGAACTAAAAGAAAATTAAAAAAAAAAACAAGAGGGAAGTTCATGAGAAAGAGGGTGGTGATGATAACAATCTCACTAATGTCACAGCCCAGGCCCAATTAACATCATAAGTGAAACATTTTTAAAAGGAAAAAAAAAATCAAGAATTATAAAATCTTTATCTTCCTCCTTCAGTAGCTCGTGAGAAAATGAATGGCAAGCTAGCACTTTCTCCACCGTGTCGGAGCTCAATCTGGCATCGGCGGAGCTCGAGAGTTATACAAAACAAATCGAAATCGAAAGCTCTACACGATAGTACAATTAATTTTAAGAATCGTCGACAACGGATGCGAGACGAAAAAAAGGAAACAAGCTTTGATTTACCTTCAATTTTCAGGTAACAACGAAATTCAATCTTCTTCTTGCTTCTCTACTATGTCTGGTTGGAATATAGTTTGAAATTGAGATGGATTTGAAGAAAAGTAGAAGATGAGTGAAGGTTATGAAACAATTTTGAAGTGTGAACTTTGGAGAAAAAATGTCAGAATTTGTTTGGCTTGAAAAGCTTGAGGAAAGTTATGAATGAGGAGCTCTATTTATAGATTGAAGAGTGAATTTGAGCTGCGGAAACGAATTGTCGTTTTCGGTTTTCTCCTGCGTTTTGGTTTTGATCCGCTGTATGCGTTTTTTTTGCTCTGCAGGTCGTTTTTAATGCTCACGTTATGTGTTTCGTTAGCAACAGCTTGGCTTGCATATTGTGCATATTTTGTGTGTTTACGTTGTGGTCATGCGTGTGTAGTTGATGACGTGGTTTTTGTGAGTTCATTTTGCAGCTGCTTGTGTCGTTTCATGTTGTAGGCTTTGGCTTTAGGAGTGTAGCATCATGAAAGGCTTTGGCTTTAGGAGTGTAGCATCATGAAATGTTGTGGCTCGTTTAGAGGTTGGCGTGAATTGCTTTAAACATTTTCGTGAGGCTTGTTGTTACTTGGGCACGGTTCAGCTTGGCTTGGAAACATCTTGGCACATGTTGTG